GGGAAAGCTGGCCGGGGGGGCCGCTGCTCGGGGACTGGCTGGGCATCGGTCGGCAGGTGGTGAGCAATTGCATCATGTGTCACTTGCTTTGTATGTTGTTATTATTATTATTTTATTTTATTTCAATTATTAAACTGTTTTTATCTCAACCCACGAATCTTCTCACTTTCAGTCTTCCGATTCTCTCCCCCATCCCACCGGGCCCGGGGGGAGTGAGCGAGCGGCTGGGTGGTGCTCAGTTGCCGGCTGAGGTTAAACCATGACACCCCTCTAATTTAGGTTTATATGTCCCTAATAAGACGGTATCTCCAGTTTCTTTCGGCAGTGCGCTGATCTAGCTCAGTCCACTGCTGGCAACTTTCATCCTAATTATTTTAAAACTAATTTTGCCATAGAGCTGAATGAAAGGAGCTGCACAGAGCTCATACAGAGTGTATGTACAGCGTCTGACTGACTGACTGGGACTAATTGCTACTGCTTCCTTAAACAAGTGATGGTTATCTCGGATCTGTTTAAGCGCCCTTGGGTTTTGTATTGCACAGAAGCAAATGGGCCCCTTGGGTCGTAACTGCTGTGTTAACGATATCTGTGCTTTTAACGGCTTTTCCTTCCCTTCTCCAGGATGGTGATCAATTCACCAACTAGTCTATTGATGTTCCAGTTTGAGGATGTCAGGTGGGACTATACCTTAGACGCTGACCGAGAGGTGGTGGGCAAGAAAAGACAGCGCAACGGGACTTCAAGCAGAACACCGCTTCACCTTCGGCGGACGAGACGCCACGACCTCAGCCAGATGCATCGACTTGCTCTGGAGACACGAGGTGCTGACCGGCTCCTGCTGTCTTGCTGGACCCACTGCCAGTCACCGAAAGGCTGTGGAGCGTCTCCAAGTACTACGTACAGCCTCTGCAACACGCCGGCACCATTTTCTAAAATCAGTTAGAAATAGTTTCAAGTACCCACTGCCTTAATCTGAATCAATATAGACTCTCTGCTTTTTTAAAGTGCAGTCTGGTAGATGTGCTGTTGCATTTCAATAGTTCTGTCATTTCCAGGCTTTTGCAAAACCATTGTACCTTTTTAGAAAGGTTTGGTATAAATTCAACACGTTTGTCAAGACAGGCGCTGTCCCTTTCTAACTGAGTAATAGAGAAATCGGTAGTAGTATTCATGTTCTTACAGCTGGCATGCACGGAAACATGCTGCTGATTCAGTGCTTGAATTATTTATTAGAAAATACTCTAGAAAGTCATAGGACACCTGCATTCAGGGTCTGCCGTCACCGGGAAAAGCAATTGCACATATGCAGGCACCTTTTAAATGGTAACATTGTGATGTTATTTTTTTTAAATCGGCAGTTATTCAATACAGTATGTATCACAAATCTGGAAGATTTTTGATTATACAATCAAACTGTATATTGCAGATAAACTCATGGGCTAAGAAAGCTTTCATGCTTTTAAGGCCATCAGATGCTAACCTCCTTGATGCAGCTCTACTCGGTAAAAGACGTACAGTTCATAGAAACAGGAAACAAATAGGGAGTGCAACATATTTTCATTTTAGTGGCAAAAACCGCATACTTATTTAAAAAAAAATCAACATTTGCTGTCATCTTTGAATTCTGTGAGGTTTTCTGCTAATCAAATATCTTTGGATTATTTCTAATACCTCGACCTTTAGAAGCTGTGATAAGAGGCAAAACAGTAACCAAAGACTTGAAATCCCATCAGTTATCAAGATTTTATTTAATTAAAAGAAGTTTAACAGAAGCGAAGTTTAGAGATTACTTTCTTCTGTTTTCTAGCTCTCCGCTCTGAACTGATGAAATCCGCAGCTTGCCAGCAACAGCAGCATTTTCTCAAGGTCGAAAAGACTTTTCGTATTCAGGCAGAGCAGCAGAAAAAGCTTTTCATTCCTGGCACCAAACAGTCCCACGCCTCTGCCTCGGAAAAGTCAGCGAGAGCACGTTCTGCAAGAATGCTGGCAGATACTGGTAAGGACTTTTCACAGCTAGGTAGGACAGTAATTCTTCAAACAAGTGCACCTAAGATAAATGAACGGATTAAACAAAAGGTAGGGTGCTTTAGATCAGTCAAATAAACAGGACAAGTGCTCAGCTCTAGCTATAAGGCTTAGTCCTCTGGTATCTAGGATTTTTATTGTATACTTATTCTATTTTTGATTTCTTGATCAGGTGTAGGAGATTTCTGCACAAAATTTATTCAGGTAGTTGGTATTTAATCAATAGCAGTAACTCAGAAAATTGTTTAAAAAAACCCCCTATATGTAAATTGTCTCAGCCAGCAAAGACGTGGCAACCTGAAACTTGAAAATAGTTTCTGATAGTACTCAGGTCTCAGATAGTACTGAGATCACAAACATAGTCTGTGGCCATACAGCATTTGTCTCCTTAAGTTAGTTTTTCTCAGGTTTTATATTCAGAATCTGTTGGGATCTTAAACTTTAAGACATACTCTGACATCTTGCTTCAGAAGAGCTGGACCAATTGAAAGTCTCTAACCCCAAACTCGCAGTGTTTGTAACTAGGATGCAGGGTCATATGTCCGTGAGATGAAGCAGTTCTAAATTCTGTGAATGAGGAACAAGCAGGAATTTTCATTAGTTTGTTTTGCTGTATTCTGCCTTTCTGCACTGTAACTTAATGTTCTCTAAAATACATTTCTAGAGGGCAGAAGTTTCAGTTAACCAGTCTGGAAAAACAGAATTGTATTGCAAAGCAATGATACGGGAGCGGCATGACATCGCAAAGCAAAGTGACAAATGACTCGCTGTGGCAAGGCCATGGGACTGAGTGTCTTACGCAGTCTGTATCATAATCCCCGTCTAGTTCTTAGTCAAGGGCATCATCACACAATCCATCTTGATGTCTGTCATACAGCACAGGTCACTCCCTACATCCCTTGAGGCAGCAAAGCTAGGCTATGAAGCATGTCTTGTGATTTCCAATTCAAGTGCAGCTCTGAGTAGTAATGGTTCAAAGTGGTTCTCAGATGTTGGCTACGTCAAAGATTTCTACCAGGAACTGACCTGTCTTGAAGCCTTTTCCCAAAGCACAAACTGTGGGACAAGAAAGGGGTGCATGGGGAGAGGTGGTGGGGAACCTCGTTCCTTTTAGAAACCATAGTTTCGGACAAGGTGGGTACCAAACCATCCACAGACAAATACAACGTCTGTTACAGAATCTGACTTTAGTTTGACCCATAGTACAGGCTATGGCAAGGAACACTTCTCAGTTAACCAGGACAGAATTACCTCCGATGTTGGCAGTGTCACTAGTGAGGCCGAGGAAGAGCAAACTGAAATGGGCACTGTTGGCTTGTAGCTTCCTACGCTGCCTGTTCTGTAGATAAACTCGGACTGTCCACGTGCCTGTCAATCCAGCACCCATCCCTGGCCTTACTCAGAGTACTACCCTGCCAACAACGATCGCAAAAAACCATCCTCAACTTCACATCTTGTTTTATTTTTGGAAACAGATGGCAAATCTGAACACGGGCCTTCTCTCTATGTACCTGCACGTCCTGACAGGGCAGAAGCCACTTCGCAGCATGAAAAGAGAAGAGGCCCAAGTTGTCCAATGTCCCCCGACAAGTTCCTCTTAACTGTCAGCATGCTGCAGAACGCCTGCAGGTCAGCCCTAGCCAGCTCCGGTATTAAGCATGCTGCGAAAGTCAGGGAAGCATGGGAACCTCCATGGGAACATCAGCAACGCCGCCCCAAAAAGGTACAAATACACAAACCCCCTCTGCAATGCAAAAACGATCAGGCAGCCCAGCTCCAACGTGTGAGATTGCACAGCGATTCTCTGACTGTGAAAAGAATTTCTATACCCTTTGAAACCAAAATGCTGCGGCTCAAGCTGAAAAACTCTTTGCATGGACCCGCTGTGAATTCCTCCATCCCCGCTCCCTCTGTTGTACGTCCCAAGACTTGTTGTGGTTTGCTGCGAGAAAAGAAAGCTCACAGCGGTCATGGTAAAGCTCTTCCTCTCACCGAAGACGGGGTTCAGCTTATCGATCCCTTTACAGCTTCTTCTGACCTGATCAAATCAACGCGTGTGATGATTGCACAAATGAAGAATGAAGCGGTTCCCAGGAGAAAAAAGCCCTTTTGTCCGTATGCTGCAGACCCTTCCCGGAGTGACAGTGGCTTCAGGCTTCTGACAGCAAAACAGAAGGAGGTACATGAGGCAGCCACTGTAGCTCAGTATCAGGCACACCAGGCAAAGCTCACAGAAGATCAGCAAAGAGCACGCAAGAAGGCCTGGTTAAGGAAAATTAAAGGCCTACCTATAGACTCTTTTACTGAGGAGGGGAAAATAGCTGCTCCTGAGCTTGGGCTTAATACATTTATCTAAGGTAATCCCTTAGTCCAACAACCAACCAGTATCTGAGGATTCTGGCATCCAGCTGAGTCTGCCATGTCAACCCCTGTGGTTTCTAAGTATAAAAGACATCTCCGCTGTAAGTTCTTCTAAGAGATATTATTGGTATATTCAGCTGTTTCTCCAGGCAGTGAATGGACCGAGTCCTCTCCTGGATTTATCTTGCTAGACCTGCTGTCACTACAGACACAGCGCTGTTTGACACTAATATAGCTCAACACATGGCTCAACTGTGTGTGAATAATAATAAAAAACCTTTATTAGAGTTTATGTGGCTTGATTACAGTTTATAAGCTGAAGAAGTGTGGACTGAAAACTGGCTGAGCAGCTGAGCCCAGAGGGTGGTGATCAGTTGCACGAAGTCTAGCTGGAGGCCAGAAACTAGCAGTGTAGCCCAGGGGTCAATACTGGGTCTGGTTTTGTTTAACATCTTCATTAATTAACGACGTGGGCGACGGGGCAGGGTGCACCCTCAGCAAGTTGGCAGGGGACACCGAAGTGGGAGGAGTGGCTGATGCACCAGAGGGTCGTGCTGCCATCCAGAGGGACCGGGACAGGCTGGAGAAATGGGCCGAGGGAGACCTGGTGAAGTTCGGCGAGGGGAAGGGCCGAGTCCTGCCCCTGGGGAGGAGCAGCCCCAGGCAGCAGGACACGCTGGGGCCACACCCAGCTGAAGCAGCTTAAAATTTAATTTGTACTAAATAGAAAAATAAAGGTAGTGTTTTCTATTTCTCCATTTTTGTGGATAAAATGCCTAAATGTGCTTGATTTCCACTAATGCTCGGGACTTAAATGGGCTTGAGTTGGGAAGACAAAAACCTCTCCAGCTGTCCAACTCTGAGTATCTGGGCCAGCGCACCAGAAATCTATTATTCTCCTGCATTAGAGGCTTGAGGCGGGACAGTTCTGCCCGCGGTCACGTCAAGGGTCCTTTCAGCAGCAGTTCTGGTTTGAGATGAAAGTCTGTGAAACTCCCCATACACAGGACTTAAATGGGCTTGAGTTGGGAAGACAAAAACCTCTCCAGCTGTCCAACTCTGAGTATCTGGGCCAGCGCACCAGAAATCTATTATTCTCCTGCATTAGAGGCTTGAGGCGGGACAGTTCTGCCCGCGGTCACGTCAAGGGTCCTTTCAGCAGCAGTTCTGGTTTGAGATGAAAGTCTGTGAAACTCCCCATACAGTAGGGTGGTGATTAGTTTTTGTTTGTTTATTTTAATGTCGTCTTCAACTTCCAAACCCTGGGATTAAGCCAGACCTTGCCAACAGTGAAAAATAACAATAGTCGTCCCCCAGAGAACAATAATGAACAGGTAATAAAAACTAAGTGCCCATGTAAAACTACGAGGAAGCCAGAAACTAATGAAGATGTGGGAGCTGGACTGTTGTAATTCAGACTTGCTGCCGAAAGGCCGTGCAGGCTGGGGATGAGCGAGGGTGGGAGGTCAGCAGTTGGCCTTATTGCAGCACGTCTGCGCTATGGTACAGGGATTGTAGCTGTCTGAGGTGGCTTTGCCCGACATTAGTTTTCAGACACGAAGCAGCAAGGATTTCGCGCTCAGCCACGGGATGGCACTTTCTCGCAAGGAATCTGGCGTAAGCGCAGCTGCAGCCAGAGGCCTTTTGGCACAACCTCCCTGGAAAAAAGCATCTAATAGAGGGAGCCCGGTGGAAAAACATCACGGAAAGGCTGATGCCTTTTTAGTCATGCCGAAGTGAGGAGGATTAGAGTGCTGTCTTCCTATTTGGAGCCAATAAATCAGCATCTCCCTGCAGGTTTGGGTCCTCAGGCACTTACAAGATGCTACAGCCAACAGAGGTGGTGTGAAATTACCTACAAAGGCAGAGCTGGACCAAGTCCTTCCGCGATCGGCTTTAGCTCAGCACAGTGGATGCAAAGCCGGGAGCTGGGCGTCAGAGATGCATTGGAAGGGAGTTAACGTATGGGACGATGTCATACACGGCACGTGAAGTCACTTACAAAGGTAACTAAGAGGAGGTTGTTTTACTGTCTTTGCAATTCACTTCTGCATTAAATTGACCTGTCTGTGCACCTGGCCTTCGGGTGCGCGGAGGGGACAACCTGGGGGTGCCGGCGGCAGCACTGGCGTTGTGCAGGGCGCGATGCACCCGCAAGCAGAGATCAAGCCAGACAGAGTGGTGGCAAGGTAGTTTCGACAGAGTTTTGTTGTAACTAGGTGCCATTAGTGTTGTACTCGTCACCCGCAAAGCGTAGATAATATGATCCTGATGTGATGATTCCACACTGATGTCACGGCAGTTTTGTCTGTATAGCTCGACAGGCGTTTCTGAACAAAACGTGCTTTTACCCGAGTGCTGGTTATAGCTAGAAGTGTTTGTATTTCAGCAGAGGAACGGTGCCCGACGCTTCACTCAGTGAACGGAAAAGGAGCGAGAGAGTATTAAAAAGAGGCAACAGCAAAGATATAAAAAGTACATTAAGTTTTTTATATAGTGTTGTATTTATCAGTAACAGCTTTGGATTGCCTGTGACATGGCATGCTGACTTAAGTGAGCATTGCAAGTGTACTTGTTAACTAGGTAAACAAAATGGGACTTTTTAATGTTGCCTTTAAATCGATGTGAAAACAAAACTGTACGCAGGCAGTATTGAAGCGAAAGGACGTTTTACTTGTTTGTGGCTGGATCACGCCCCACGAGATTAGATCGTGTATATCAGACTTAAGATAGCAGCGATTCTAATAACTCTACATCTGCCCTTTCTAAATTAAAAAAAAAAAAATTAAAAAAATTAAAGAGTTGCCCTGTAAGTGGAGGATGGAGAGCAGGAAAAAGCTGATCAGGAGGTGAGGACTGGAGCTGTTACACCTGGGTGACTGAAACTTTTAAGCCATCCTACACATCTGACTTGGCACAAACCTTTCCAGCAGGCCTGTAAATGGCAATCTCCTAATTCATCAGGCTCAATTCTGCAAAGATCGCTGACCTATAAAAGAGCATGGACAAGTCAACAGGCTGGTAAGTACATAATTTTTATGTGAGCCAGGTCTCACGATGAACATTAAGTGTTCTGACTTGCTGCTACGCTTATTTCTATGGTGCCTCTCTGCTGTGTTCTTTCAGGTGTTAAGTAAGTATAAAGTGTTAATTTGAATCCAGTACAGTTTTTGAGAAAGTCATGAGAGGGAGGGCTGCGTCACTTAGGGCACTAGCAGGTACCAGAGCTCTTTACAAGCGAGCGGGGATATTAACCCTGGAGCATGGGTGAGTCTGAGCCCCGGGGTTACAGTCTGCACGTCTGGGGATCTTCCCTGTAGCCGCAGCTCCGCGCCTTGATCTTCCTCCTGGATGGCTCTAACTGTGGGGTCCGGGGCCCCATGTATGGTAGAGACCATTAAATAGCCAGGTCTTTACACGATGAACATTAAGTGTTCTGACTTGCTGCATAATACGCTTATTTCTATGGTGCCTCTCTGCTGTGTTCTTTCAGGTGTTATGTAGAAATAAAGTGTTAATTTGAATCCAGTAGTTTTTGAGAAAGTCATGAGAGGGAGGGCTGCGTCACTTAGGGCACTAGCAGGTACCAGAGCTCTTTACAAGCGAGCGGGGATATTAACCCTGGAGCATGGGTGAGTCTGAGCCCCGGGGTTACAGTCTGCACGTCTGGGGATCTTCCCTGTAGCCGCAGCTCCGCGCCTTGATCTTCCTCCTGGATGGCTCTAACTGTGGGGTCCGGGGCCCCAGCTGTGTTTTGGGGACAGCGTACGCCAAGAGCCCGATGCTTCGCTGCCCCCCCAGCAGGTCCCGGTGGGTGGGAATGCCCAGAGGGCCGAAGGGAGCTTTGTCCGACACCAACGCCTGAACAAGGCGAAAGCAGCAGAGACCTGCTCCCCAGCTCGGAGTGCGGCCCGTCCCAAAACCTTCCGACAGTTTAACGCAAAGGTTAGGCAGTGGTGCTGCGTATCTTCGGAGGTGCCGAGAAATTCACGTTTCCCCAACAACAGCAGCAAGATATTAGCTGTGTTGCAGCAACACTGATGGTAATTTCTGTAATCTCCCTTTTGCCGCACCACAACCAGGTTTTGGATTTTTGCAAAGAATCATAGAATCACTAAGGTTGGAAGAGACCTCTAAGATCATCGAGTCCAACCAAGAAACCACGGGGAAGGTTGTCCAACGAGAATGCATCGCTGGTACCAGCACTTCATACGCTTCCACAGTATTGCTCTAGATGATGGTATTTTTAGCCGACAACTGGGGACTGTCGCTATTGACACAAGCTAAGGGAGCGCTCACACGGGTCCCCCGTGCTTGCTCTCCCCTCTCCCACCAGCGTGTGGGAGACGTGAAGCAGATGAGGTACCAAAACAGCTCAAAGTACTCCTGGGTCAGCCCAGCTGGAGACTTTTTTTGTCCTTAAAAAGCTCTGGATTTCTACATCTCTGCTTTGATGTACGACTTGCTATAGAGATCACAGTCTTACAGGTCTGAAATCTCATTTCAGGCGTATGAATACACCTAAGGATGAGCTAGTCCCAAAAATAATGAAATCTGAACTAAACACACAGTCCTTCAAGAATGCAGCAGCTGCCAGATCCGCCCGGTACGCAGTTACGGCTGGAACCGGCTACGGCGAGAGCGATCCAGAAGGGGAGACGCCCTTTTTGCTTCAAATAGGATCAAGTAACGATCCTTCAAAGAGGCAGCAAGTAGTAAACCAACGCCGTGCCTCATTGCAAGGCAACCCCTTTGCTCCTTTGCGCTTGCCAGAAGAGATGGAAGAACAACTGGAAGGAAGAACCCTATAGTTAACTTTGTCTTCCTTTATAAACGAAGCGGGAGTTTACTCATTTCTTCCCCAACGCGCGTTTTCTGACTGAATTGCTCGCGTACAAAAGCGGCTGGGCAGCGTGTTTCAGACGAGCTGTTGGCAGACGGCCTCCTCGGCGCGTGGGCGAGCTCGCAGCGGCCGGTGCATCCTCGGGCTTCGCTCCTCGCGCCGATCGCTGCCACGAGCAGTTTTAAAACGCGTCCTCGGGCTTCGCTCCTCGCGTGCGCTCACGCCGATCGCTGCCACGAGCAGTTTTAAAACCAGGGCACGGCCAACTTGCGCCGTTTTCCCTGCGAGCTCTGTGCCTTTCTGGGGACTTCGTAAAAATCGAAGCTTAAAGCTTCCCCGTTGTCTCCAGCGCGGCTGCTCAGCCTTTCCTTATGTGCTAAAAATACCCATCTGAGGGTGTTACTCCAGTTTGAGCTTTTTCTATCACGTTTTCTAGACATCCAGTTGTTTGATTATTTTTTTTTGGG